CTTAGTTCCCATACCTACGTACCCAGGAACTTTGGGGTTGGGAATCTAGGTGATACGATTTTCTTTCCCTGCTAGAAATCGAAGTGAGCTCTCCAGCATCAGAAGAGTCATTGACAGATAAAGGGAGTTCCTTTTAAGCCAGGGAGAATCTAATTCGCCAAACAACGGACATTTAAATCTTTACTCGTAGAGCCGGCTCTCTGCACTTCCATTTCACCAAAGTTGACTGCAACTTTTAAGAGCCAACTCTCTGCACATATTCAAGCCTTTCTGGTCTATTTTTAAGTGTAGTCCAAGTTTACTTATTTTGTCATCTTTTGACATGTTAACTACATACTTAAATGAATCAATAAGTCACTCAAATGTGTTTTGTAATCATCAAAATCATAGGTACAACACAACTAAGAATTGTAGGGAATAGAAAACTCAGGGAGAGTTGCTTACTAGGACAATAAGATATTTTCTTCACAAAGCTCAAACTGAAAACAAGTTAATTTGACAAGATAACTATATTTTACAGCTAATTATGTGGGTGGACAATAATAAATACAAAAAAGCAAACATAACCAATTACATTTAGAGGGACAAAACTACCAAACATGTGAAGAGAAAAGTCTTTTGATAGCTTTTTAGAATTTCTACTTTTTGGTATCTAGAATAGTATAACATGTTTTACGTCTCTAACTTATGGAAGTTTACAAACAAATTTATTAACTCAATATTAAAGCATAAAAATATGCATTATCAAATTTAAATTTAACAAGCACCTTATATGGTAATAGCCAAACCAAATCAAATCATTGATGCATTCAATTACGTGCAAACAAACCATCGATACACAAATTAGTTCAATATTAAGTGTTCTAAAATTAAAAAGTGGGAAAAGAATTAATAGTAACTTGTGAATATACCATTCCCATCATCTAAATCATTAACATAACTTGACAGATTTGGTGATATTACATTTTTATGAGTATCCTTATGAAAAGAGTTATTGTAAGGATAAATCATTCACATCTACTACATCAAGGAAACCATCATTGGGGAATTCAAGAATATGCCCTACACTTTTGTATGCATCCAGAAAGTCAAGAACTCTTTTATCATAAAAAAAAAAAAAGTAGTTGTTCTTATATAATTAACTATTTTGTTTGAGCTTACTACTTTTGGTTGGGTAGCTCCATCTCCTAGTATCACATAATAAAAAAAGATTTAATGGAAATATTAATGTTGTAAACAATACAAAAAACAAGGAGGAACAAGCAAAAAAAGAAAAATAATTTCATACTATGTCCAATCATAATCATTTGTGCATCATTATCTCTTCCTGCATCTAGTTCCTTAAGCATTGGGAAATAAATATATAAGGCATTATAAAGGAAAAGAGTTATATATTTAACTCGAAACCATAACTTCAACTATGGACAAGAATGGACGAAAAGAACATGAAGAAAAAAAAAAAAAAAGAAAACACTTATCTCCCTAATATATAAATTTGTATCTCTTAAATTGTTTCTTAATTAAAACCTTTAGATAGGTATTGGCAAGATATTTACACAAATAAAAAATTTGACAAATAAATTATTGATGGAGTTTTTGCTCAAAATTAAGATAGTGTAGTGTTGGATTTGGTTGAGAATGAGGCTGTTGAGTGGTTTTGTAACTTTTCATGAATAAAAAAAAAAAAAACTTTAGGAAATTGTAAATAAAGGATGTACAAGTGTTACTTTAAGATCTAATCATTTTTCATTACAAACTTCAAAGAATCATATAAATGTCATGTATGCAAATGCTTTAATGGCAATAATTTCAACATATGCAAATGCTTAATTGCCATACTTCTTATTCGTTTCAAATAGTTAAATAAAGGGTACCAAAGACTCAAAGTTAGGAAGGCCCCAAATGATCCTATAAGGCCTTAAAGCTAGTCTTTAATAAGGCAAACTTGTATTTGTCAAAGTTGAATAACTCATATATTTTTATGTCATGTAAGTATGACTTGAAAAGATCTTACTTTGTAAACTATAATTAGAGACTTATTCGTTACGTTGTAGCAAGTTTTATAAGTTTTTTTTGAAACAAAACTTCTAATTTGAACTAGAAAAATCGAATTAGACAATATAATTTTAACCATCATTTTAACTTTGTTGTGTTGATTAATTTATTCTTAGGTTTCGAACTCTATTTTTCTTATGCACATAGAGGTTATTTTTAGAATTAGTAATAGACTATTTGAAACTTAAGGACAAACCTGACAACAAAAATATAGAAGATGCCTTTATTTTATGGTTTTGGTTTGAAAAAAAGGTTAAAGAATAACTTCAATATCATCAAGAAATGCTAACTAATAAAGATAAGAAGACAAGATTGAGCTAGGTTACAACAAGCTCAAAAGAAATATTACTTTAGATTTTGTGATAACCCTTGACAAATCTCACACCAATAAAGCACTAGAAAGATGCAGGGTATATAGGTTAATGCCTATTAACCTCTATTGACACGTTTCAAAACTATGAGACCTAATAAGTCAAACCAGACTATCAATAGTGTATTGGGTTGTTATATATGGTATTAAAGTCACTCTATATTATCTCTTGAATGGTGGTGTGGCAAACCTCAATGATAACCCTTGGACAAATCGTATATTAAAAAAGTATAAAAGAAATGTTGGGGACATAATTTTTTATCAACAAAATAAAAAAAAAATGCTAAATACATAGTTCAATAACCATTAGGTTAAACCTCCATTTTGGTCCCTTAACTATTGTACGAACTCTCAATTTAGTCCCTCAACTCAAAAAATCCTTGATTTGGTCCTTAAGTTTAATGGAAGAAGATTTGAGAGGGAGGATGCTAAGGAAGAATATGAGGGCAAAATTGTAAATTTAATGGGTTAAATAATTATATTTGTTTGATTTGGTGGTCAGGTTTTTAGCCACGTCATTTATTTATCCTTGTTGTCAGTTTATGTATTAAATATTTGGACATGTCACTTTCATTCAATCAGTTAATTAGCCACCTCAGCAAAAATTTAACGGAAGGACCAAATCGGGGTCAAAATGATAAACATTAAGGACCAAATCAAGGATTTTTTGAGTTGAGGGACTAAATTGAAGGTCTGTATAAGAGTTGAGGAACCAAAATAAAAATTTAACCTAATCATTAAATCCTTTTTGCACGTTTTAAAATTGTTGATCGGTAAAGCGGATAGTATCAGTGGCCTTCATTAGAACTTTCTTTCTACGATGATGACCTAGTGAAGACTACAAATTTTTTCCATACTGCTAAGCGGGGTTCCACTGTTTAGTTTCCTTTGATCCTGAAGCGCTCTCACTCTCACACCATGGTAACTGAATTTCTTTCTTCCCTCTTTCCTCTCATCTTATCTTTTGGTTTTGTAATTGCACCAAGCCAGAAGTCCTTCTTTGGTCCGCGCTTACACTCCGGGATGACCTGCAAAGCCCTGAGGTGGAACTCAGGGTAGACACTACGATGCTTAAGTCAGCAATAATCGGGGCTAGCTTAAAGGCGGAAATAGAAAGAGCTTAGGGTTGGTTTCAATTACCTTTTTGACATGGCCCAGAGGGGTATTTATAGGATCCAATGAGGAACCCACGTGTCATGCCAAGCAATATAATCGGAGCCTGATGTGTCCATCCAGACGATTATTCCGGGACCAGGAATTTGAGAGGTATTCAGATGCACAAGCGTCCACCATACTTGCTGTGCCACTCATCATAAGGAATCAGGTGCGAGCATGCTTATTGCCATTGTCGTGCAGCTATTTGAGCGGGAAGCTTTGGATTTATTCCTCACTTCGGTTATAAAGGAATTACTGTAGCAGTCCGAGGCTTGGCACTTCGGACCTATCCTTACACTATTCCCCCCCCGAAGTCATTCACTTGTGAATGATGTTACAGGGGATATTGAGGGGAGTGCATAAACAAAGAGAATAAGGATAGGTCATGGAAGTAAAAAGAAGAAATAAAGTCTATAATTTAAATATAAACATAGCCGTAACTAATAATGAAATATGTAACAGTGGATTACACTGGGAGTGTCTTAAATAGAATATGACTAGAGCGATCATGGTCGTGGTCATGGTAAAAATAATGACCGGAGTCATAGTGGCCGTAACCACAGGAAAAAGTGATCATCGAAGTCATAATATAACCAAGATCATGATAAAAAATGATGCCTGGAGTCATAAAGGCCGGGGCGGTGATAAAATATGATGACCTGAGTCATAATGGTCGGAGCCATAATAAAATATGATGACCAGAGTCATAATGGCCGGAGCCGAGGTAGAGTATGTGACATGTAGTCATAGTAACCAGGATCGAAGTAAAACATGTCTCTGTGGCCGGAGCCGTAGTAAAACACTATGCCAGTTAAAAAAGTGTAATTTTTTAAGTAAACAGAAGTGTTGAGCTAGGCTTAAGCATAAAGATGGGAGTCAAAATGGCCGAAACCATAATAAAATACAATGACCGGAGTCATAATGGCCGGAGCCGATGTGAAATGTAATGCAGCATTATTGTGGCCAGAGTCGAAGTGAAACACTTGCAAAATTGAGAAAAGTAAACGAAGGTGTTGAAATGAGCGTGAGTGGGTTCGTTTGAAAAATCTGACAAGGGGGTAGCACATGGTGTGACAGTTGTCCTTGGAGTGACGTGCGCAATAAATGCAGCCGTAAAAAGATAACTGCAACAATTAAACAGGCAGATTTAAAAACGAACCGTCAAGTTCAAAACTATACCGTTTGGGATTGTCCATCGAATTCCAAACGGTGTCAATAGGAACCGTAAGATTAAACGAATCTCAACCGTGGAGATCTAATTGTGCCCGGAAGCATAAATAGGCATTTTTTCTGCAGAAAGAAGTTTACTTGCATTTCTTTTCCTGCAAAACTTCTGCGAAAAGCTTTACTGTGCGTTTCTTGTGCGTGAACTACAGCATCAACTGGGGATCCCTACATCAAG